TGTACAAAATCAATGCCCCACCGACTTCCGATGTTTCTCATGACATTTTTGCATAATATTTTTATGCACAAAAATGCTGAGCCCCTTAGTTAGTACATGTGCACAGAACTGATGACCCCACTTACCTCCCCAGAACAAAGTGGGTGACCCTACCCCCACCCAACCCTTCTGAAACTATCATCACCTCCCCAAGAAATATATTATGAAGGGTCCCTAAGATACATGTATTAACCGGCACGCTTGTTTCTTTTCAGATTTTCAGTACGGAGACGTCATGGGGTGATCCTTGTAAAACTGGGCAACTAAGATCACGAGAAGTCAAATTCAGAAGTTCGGTTCTCAATCTCTGCCCTTTAACCAGATGAAGAACAGCAAGTCAGATAGTGGTTTGTCACAAATGAACCAAATGAACCACATCAGCCCATGGACTCAACTTATGCCAAAAAATAGTTTTGCTCAGATGAGACGCATCAGAAACAAGAATCATGTCCTATGGAATGACCAATTTCCCTGCTTTTAACGGGAAAACAATTACTTGCGTTTGCATGTGTTAGTGGTGGGTGCCATTGGCCTGGAAGGACAGGCTCGCCTTTTCACGAATATCCACTATCCCTATTTGTTGATGATTCGTGAAAACATGCCCGTGATGCAGTCGCGATTGCGAAATAATATTTTGTTCTAGCAAAACAATTAAATGGAGTTTTTTCACACATAATTTGATTAGGAAGATGATTTGCATGCTAATGTGTTTGCAGTGATGTCCTAAATATGTGGAAACTACCAGAAACAAATGACCGAGTGTGTAATGGTTAGTTCTCCAGAACCCCTGCACTGAGGTGCTTCAGCTAGGCGCCCACACATCCCAGTTCAGATCGGTGACCTTGACGATATATTTCAGACCATCTAAAGATATCTAATCTACTTGAAATGATCACAAGTTTAGCAAGCATACTCTTCTCCATACATGCTATATATAGAAATGGGGGATAATCTGTTTATCGTACTAATCACTAAGTCCAAGGTAATACTTGGAATATATCTTGGAAAATTTCAATTTCTTCACAAAAAAAACTATATTAATTTCTGTTTCACTGTCATGTCTTCGGGTCATTCAATAATCTTAGGCTATATTAGATCTATACAGTGATCTTGTTACTGGCCAATACGACGTTGTCTTTTGTTTGTTGACATGGTGACATATGGTTAACACTATGAATGACGATGCTGAAAAAATATGTGACACTACTTCTTGTCAATACAGCGATATCAAACCTGTGATCAAACATCTTTTATTTATTGCAAGCAAACGGTACACCCGGTAGGTGTTAATAAGCCGTATGCAATGAAACGAACTATTGGTTTTGTTACATGTCCTCTGTACATGGCAAACTTATGCTAATACCAAAACACCTGCGTTCAAGATTCAGATCAGATTTAATGGCGGACGGATACATGCTAAGGGAGGTAACTCCAAGGTTGGGATGCCGCTGAGTACCACTAACAAACAGGTGTCACCTTTGTATTGTGTATTTCATAGGTTTCACCTACTTGGTTGTCAGTCCAGATTTGAAAATAAAATAATCTGAAGATGTCGTTTTCTCGTCATACACACGAAAAAAATAAGCTGAGGATCCTCCTTAGGGAATGGCGGTTCTGAATGCCCCAGACATGACTTGAACCATTTAGGAAATATTCATAGTTTTGATCTGATCATACATGAGTAGACGTGTAGGCCTTTTCCTTCATCTGCTTCGGATTTAGTATTTGAAAGAACCTTCATAATATCAAGAGCCGTTAAACATTTTGCTTTAAGATTAATGATATGTAGGATAAAAGATAATTTATAGTAAAATGCTGTATAAATGCAGTTTGCGTTTGTTACGAAAAAGAACACATAATCTTTTGGCTTTGGAAACCTTAGTACCGTTTTCCAGTGACCAGCTGTGTACTTATGAAGGCAATGCTGCAGTTCCATGTTGGTACCACGAACTGTAGACATTTTTCTATATCAAAGAAGAGAGAAACTACATGCTGCTTTTAAGAATGAATGACCATCATCTTACTATGTAATATCAACAGTTCTCAGCCAGTGTCTAAGAAAACCCTGTATATCTATGATGTAGTGATTTGATGCCAGGTAGCACACGAGACAACCGTTTACCATACGTCCCAAGGTCTTGCAAACACATTAAAACATTAAAACAATAGGTTTTGGTACTTGAATAACCATTGTCTCAAGCCAAGAAGTGGGGAATTCCCTGTTTCGAGATATTAGTGAATACCTAATGGGATTTCTGGGGTAGATCAACAGGCGCTGATGCTGAGTCATGAGCCTTCTCAAGAGCTTCTTGTAATTCGCTCAGAAAATGGACAAGTCGCAGATAGGCCCGGAGCAGAGTATCTACTGGTTGCTGGGTGCAAGTAAGATTACAATTATTAAATGAGCAAAGATGCTTGTTATGAAGAAAGTCCTCTTGCACCTGACCTTTATCAGAACTCCACCCATAAAGGAGTCTGTCCGTTTATATCTCCAACGAGTATGAAGAACTTTGGTTGTTGGTCAGTCAAAATTGTTGGTCAAAATCCTATATATTAAGTGTTGGTGATGGGGGAACATTTAACAAACACAGTGCTCTATCGATATGGAGAGTTACATTCAGTGTTTTACAATACTTTCTGCAAGGACATATCAGGTGTTCGATTATCTTCTACAATTTTCTCTACACTATTAAAAAGTAGGGGTCATTCCATGTTAGGGTGATATTATTTGAGAACCAAGTTGTATGATTGTATGTGTATTTAGAAAACGATTATTCCATTGAGAGCGTGTTAAGAATTTCGTGCAGACACCTATTGCCTTGCAAACGTTTTTCATTATATGCACGTAAACATGGTCGGGGTAAAATTCGAAAAATATTGTGAAACGTGTCAGTAGAATTCGAAAAAGTTTGGGGCAATTGTGACTGGCAATACACCTCCACATAGTATTCATGGAATTATCACTAAGCAGTTCTACCGTGACAAGATCCTCCATGCAAACGTCCCGTGTTGACAATAGAGTAGTTGGGTCCTATTACTACTGCAGTTTAAACGGTTCGTTAACTGTTTCTGCTGCGTTTCAACAGTTGTGTAAGTTTATTACTTGTCAGTCAATGTTTCCACATATTACAAACTGATACATGTCCCAACGACATCACTAATCCATTTGTCTGTTTCATGTATGTTTTGCATATCGATGATTTGGATATGATTGGATGCTTGGTTGATGGATCTTGCTTTTCTTATTTTGTTTGATAAAAATGCATTAAGTGTAGGTTATTGATATATAAATGTTTAAGCAAGAATTGCCCAATTAAATCAACGGACGGTGACAATGACGCATTGGCGCAATAAACAGATATTGATAATATAGAACCATTCTTCTCGTTTCCCACCTATATGGTTTTGAATACTATGAGATTATACATACTTTACACGCTTGTTTTCATAAACACTGTATCCCCGTAGCCTGGTCATGCCATATGGTCCCTGTGCTAAATCTTATAATGAAAGGGGCGGTGAGGTAGCCAAGTGGCTAAAGCGTTGGCCTGTCACGCCGACGACCCGGGTTCGATTCCCCACATGGGTACAATGTGTGAAGCCCATTTCTGGTGTCCCCGCCTTGATATTGCTGTAATGTTTCTACACGTGGCCTCAAACCATACTCACTCAGTCACTGTAATGAATTGCTTAGGTACCGCCAATGATTGCTGTCAGCAGTCAAAACAAATGGCAGGCATTTCAGACTTCTCGGGGACCAAACCAAATATGTTGTAATTAAATGTTTATAAAACAGAAATGCATATGCTTCTATGACTCGTATGTCCCAAGATACTATCAGAACACTTTTACTAAAGGACCAGTAATTTGCATTGTTGATCAAAATTAGTCGTTTTAAAGATTACAGCACCGACCCATTCAAACAAAACTGTCTCATGTCATGCGAAGGAAAAGGACGAAAAGGATTGCAGACGAGGCACTAATGGTCAGAAAGCTACAACCTTTTAAGGAACAGACCAAGAATGTCAATTATGCTAATTAGATGTTTAGATTGAACCAGCAGCTGGGCATTTCGCTCTGAAACTGAATTGTTGTGGACCCATAGACGGACTTGGTTCTGAATTGAAATCATGGCTCCCACAGCATCAAGTTTTAGAGGTGGATACTAGAACGCTCATTCTTTCCTGACGAAAGTCGATTAAAGCTCTTCAGTCATAGGTCCGTATTCATCGTCAACGGGAGAGCGTGGGAACGTTGCTGCATTGTGAACATCGTGCCATTTGGTGATGGTAGCATCCTGGTTTGGAGTGGTATCTGTGGCCAGCAGAAGACGGATCTCGTAGTTTTAAACAAAATTCGTACAACACAAGGATGGGGTCATTCTTCCAGTTCCTCTTCTTCCATACAAGCAACAAAACCCTCGTAAGATATTGTAGTAAGACAACGCCAAAACAACTCGCTCAACCCACATGAGTTTACCCCATACGATATATATGACTCACCGCTGAATGATTTAAAGGAAACTTAAAAACTTACACATTTTAACGCTATTAAAATATTTCAAAACCGGATAAACAAACTGAATGTCGTGTCTTGTAATTTCATTCAACCCAAAAATCTATCTATGTGCTGTACACAAACATCACTTAATCGCAAAATAACACCCACATTGATATCAACTAAACATTATATCATCAGGCAAATCAATTAATTCGGTTCAATTAACTGTCTGGAACTAATCGACCTCTAAAGGGCTTCTAAGCTCTCAAAATGGCAACCTAATCGACATGTAAGATTCCTTAAAACTGTGTTCAATATGTTTTCTTTACATTGAGAGAATGAAATAGTTTAAAAAAACGTATCAGGAACTATACTCTATTAGTGCAGGGGGCGGACATGGCATGGATCAATAGGCAGTTGCATATTGGGATTGGGATGTCGATATGCACTTAACATGTATGCATTCTTTCAAAGACGAGTTGAGGGGACGTTTAGACTGACGTTAGAGAAAGTTCCATTGGAAGATTGGAAGTCTGTATGTGCTGATGTTTCAGGGACTGTTGATAACCTATCTGCTGGAGATCCTACAGTTACCGACAGTATCTCACAGGTATTGTTAACATGATGTCTGAATCGTTTCTCCAGCAGTTGTTCTGCCTAATGGTTATGGTATCAGCTGAAAATCGCCAAGAGTTGTATTCTGTTGTACGTGGATATCGTTTAACCAATCCACCTATGTTGACCGTGCACTACACCCCTGACAAATGGTCCGCAGCATGGTGCCTCCAGCAGTGTCTGGCGTCATCGTGCGCAAGTGCTTCGTTCAGTCAGACTGAGGGTACTTGCGAACTCCACAGCCTGAAGTTATACGGTGGTAACGCAACATTTGAGGAAAGCGACGATTGGGTTTACATGGAGCCCAGCTCAGGTACGATTTTTTCTGCAATGTTTGACTATATGAAGATTCGGGTTAGAATGTTCTTCAACAACCCATGCTTGTCGTGAGAGGTGACTAACGGGATCGGGTGGTCAGGCTCGCTGACTTGGTAGAACAGTCATCGTATCCAAATTGCCTAGATCGATATTCCTGCTGTTGATCACTGGATTGTCTGGACAAGACTTGATATATTGCTGAGTGCGGCATCAAACCACAAACAAACATATCATTGTTACACCACTTTTCTTGCAAAGGATTCGACTTTACAACCATTCTCTAAATCACATAGAAAAGCTAAAGCAGACATAAATGAAAAGCAAATGGAACATTCTAAATTGAAATTCAGATATTTCAGTCGTTGACGATCTACAGCCTTTCATATATTGCATTAGTCTATAGTGGTTGATTTACATGCTAGTTAAAAATTAAAAACATCTGGATACAATGACCCTGCATCTGTGAAGTCAGCTTTCCTGGCCATCCCACCCTGTTCATCACCTCTTACGTCAAGCTTGAGTTGCTGACTTAAAATCCCACCAATGATGAAATCGCTATTTGAGCATGAGCTCCGTACTGAGCTTTCAGAGTTGCGTGACATCAGCAATTTTGATCGACCTAGCCACTGTATGAGCCACTACTCAGTTATTTCAAAATGTTAAGAAATTGTCACCGGAGGTTAAATCCCAGCTTATAACGATGCAGCGCCTTTCGCACCTCCGTATGTACGTCACTGCTCGACTTCCATTCTTTGTCTATGTGCTCAGTATGGTGCCGCTGGAGAATCTGATCTTGTTCTCTGTAAATTGTATTCACTCGTGTTTTGTTCAGGTGCTGTCTGGCACCCATGAAGGGCCACCTCCTCGTGGTGGGTGCTGGGTCACGCTAAGCGCCCTTCGACCCCCCGTTGTGGACCCGGGGGGATATTTGGTCCACCAACCCGTTTGCCGTGGGTTGCGCCCATGTGTCGGTGGAGGACGGGAGGCTGGTGGTTGAGGGCACTGGTTCCAGGAACAGTGTTCCTTTGCCCAATACACCACTTCGCCCGTTACTTCACCTAGACGGGTGGTTGAACTGGCCCGGTTCAACCAATCGGCTGGTCACGCCAAGCCCTGTGTGAACTACAATTGGGAATTGTTACACAAAATTTTGGGATTTCTATAATGATATTTTTCAGTTTTGGCCAATTTTTGATCTCATAATTTCAAATACACTATTTCATGTATGTTTTTGCCTAGAGTCGTATGCCCAGAAGGCGGTGGCTCATGGGCCAATCTGGTGGAAGAATAAATCTTTTACTTTCTTCTGCTGGAGTATATCATCCGAGTATCCTTGGTGCTGCAAGTTGGAAACCCATTTGTTTTTAGCATTGTCTTCATGATACTCCATGGTGGTTGGGGAGCTCGGATGATGAACCTTTAAACACTAACCATGGCTAACGAAACCCCTATTACCAAAAAGAAACGTCCTCTTGACACAGATCCTGAGGTTAATGACCAACGACCGTCCACGTCTATTGAATACTGGCCACGTTTTATAGTGCTTGAGACTGTTGACAAGTCTCCTTTAAAACTGAACCCTTTTGCTGTTTCAAAAGGCATACAAGGCATTGCAGGAGATGTAAAACAGGTCAAACGTTTGCGGACAGGTTCTCTACTTGTTGAATGCAGTAAGAGACATCAGGCACACAACCTTCTGTCAACTAAATCTTTTGTCGGCATTCCCGTATCAGTTTCGGCTCACCGAACGCTTAACACCAGCAAGGGTATTGTGAGAGACCGAGACCGACTGTTTGCTGATATGCTAGAAATTGATATTGCATCAGAGCTGAAGGAACAAGGTGTGCTATACGTGAAACGTTTCACTGTCCGAAAAAACAATGAGATCCAACAAACGAACACCTATTTGTTTTCATTCTCCACTCCAACTGCTCCTACTTCCATAAAGGCTGGTTACTGTCAAATCAAAGTGGATACGTACATTCCGAATCCACTGAGATGTTTCAAGTGCCAGAAATATGGCCATGGTGTAAATACTTGCACATTGTCTGTTGTGTGTGCTCACTGTGGTGAGAAGACACACACGACAGAAGATTGTGCAAGTAATTATAAAAAATGCACAAATTGTTCTGGAGACCATTCCTCTTTCTCTAAAGACTGCCCAATTTGGAAGCTACAGATGGAGATAAATAAGATCAAATTCACTCAAAATATTAGTTTTGCCGAAGCCAAACAGCTTGTCCAAAGATCTGAATTAAAAGAAACGTATGCCTCCAAAACCAGGACTCCATCTGAGGCAACACTTAAAGTAACTACATCATCTTCAAGCTGCCAAACAAATTTGACTTGGGTGAAAAGCACTTCTCCACAGATTTTCTCCACTGCAATATCGATTCAAACAGTAGAATCACTTCCTGACAGGTCCGACAGTCAACCAGAGCCAGATCATGATCATGGTACATCATCTCAGTCTACCACAAGGTCTCAATCGCAAGCTCATGTACATCACATTACTAAAGGGAAGAATAAACCTAAGCCTGATTATTCGAAAAAACAAAGTGGCAGAACCCCAAAAGGGTCTGAAAATAAAATTAACCTTTACAACAAATATGGATCACTTGAGGACATGGACGTGTCCGAAAATGTCCATTCTAGGGCACAAAGCTTGTCGCCCTCCAAAACAGTGCGGGGTAGATCCCCAATAAATCCCCCGAAAAGATAGTTTATTCCAACAACATCGTACAGTGGAATTGCAGAGGACTACGGCATAATTACAATGAGTTACAGTTATTAGTCCAGGATTGTATGCCGTCAGCATTTTGTCTGCAAGAGACATATTTAAAGCAGACTGATTCTTTTGACCTACGTCATTTCAATGCCTATCATTATTTCTCACCTCCAGGTGACAGGGCCACTGGAGGATCTTCAATCCTAGTCAAACAGTCTGTTATCCATAGCCCTATTACACTTTCTTCTAATCTTCAAGCAGTTGCAGTGCGACTCACTTTACGCGGTTGCATTTACATTATGCTCTTTGTATATATCACCGTCTTCAGTCATTCAGAAGACTGATCTTCAAACTCTCTATGACCAACTACCAAAACCCTGTATTATTATGGGGGACTTAAATGGCCACAACCCACTTTGGGGTGGTACAACTACTAATGCTAAAGGTAAACTGTTAGAAGAGTTCTGTTCAGATAATGATTTATGCATATACAATGACGGTTCCAACACCTATTTACATCCTGGCACTGGAAGTTATTCGGCGCTTGATTTATCAATCACCGATTCAAATCTACTGAATGAATTTGAATGGTCAGTTCACGATGACCTCTGCGGAAGTGACCATTTCCCTACAATTCTTACATCCGTTAACCCATCTGATATTACCCCATCTTCAAGATGGAATTTTAAGAAGGCTAACTGGCCTTTCTATCAAGCTCTGTGTTGTAACAGACTTAAACCTGAACATTTTATAGAAAGTCCTGATCCTATAAAGGCTTTCTCTGATGAACTAATTAACATTGCTGATGAGTGTATCCCCAAATCCTCTGCAATTCCACACATACGAAAACCATGGTTCAACAATGAGTGCAAACAGGCTAGGAAGGCACGGAAGAAAGCTGAAAATTATTTCCGTCGCCATCCTATGGTCCATAATTTGAATACATTTAAAATTTTAAATGCTAAGGCACGGCGTACCTTCAAGCAAAATAAACGTCAATCCTGGCGAACTTATGTATCAAAAATAAATTCACGAACGCCGATATCAAAAGTATGGAATATGATCCAGAAAATAAAAGGTAAGGGTTCTAAATCTAGCATTCAGCATCTTAAAGATGGAGACGAATTATTAACTAGTAAATCTGATATTGCAAATAAACTTGGAGAAACTTTGGCCAAACACTCTTCCTCGTCGAATTATTTACCTGAATTCCAAAATTATAAAAAACACCAGGAAAAGAAAACTTTTAATTTCAATTCAGATAAAAGGGAAGATTACAATGAACTGTTTTCTATTCATGAGCTTCATACTGCTCTTGATCAAGCTCATGATACGGCTACAGGTGCTGATAACATACATTATCAGCTCCTGAAACACTTACCGGATTCATGCTTAGAAACTCTTTTAAACATTTTTGATGATATTTGGACTTCTGGACAATTTCCTTCTTCATGGCGCGATGCTATTATTGTCCCCATCCCTAAACCTGGACGTGATCATACTGATCCTTCGAATTATCGACCAATCTCATTAACTAGCTGCGTTTGCAAGACCATGGAGCGCATGATAAATAATCGACTTGTGTGGTACCTGGAAACTAATAACCTCATAACAGACATTCAATGTGGTTTCCGTAAAAACAGAAGTACTATCGATCATTTAGTGCGTTTAGAATCTTTTGTTAAAAATGCCATTATTAAAAACAACATGCAGTGTCGATCTTTTTCGATTTAGAAAAAGCATATGACACCACATGGAAACATGGTATTTTAAGAGATTTACACGATTTTGGATTGAGAGGCCGTTTGCCTCTTTTTATATCACAGTTTTTAACGGACAGGCAATTTCAAGTTCGCGTGGGTTCTACCCTGTCTGATTGTTACAATCAGGATCAGGGTGTCCCACAAGGCAGTATTTTGTCTGTCACACTCTTTAGTATTAAAATAAATAGTCTTTCAAAGGTTTTAAGTGATTCAATCGATGGATCTCTTTTCGTGGATGATTTTAATATTTCTTGCCGTGGTAAAAACATGCGAACTATTGAGAGACAATTACAAATTTGTCTAAACAAAATTCATAAATGGTGTCTTGAAAACGGGTTTAAATTTTCGAAATCCAAAACCAATTGTCTCCATTTTTGTAGGAAATACAAACCCCATAAAGATCCTGAATTATCATTAAATGGCACACCCATCAAAGTTGTCAAGGAAGCTAAATTCCTTGGTCTCATCTTTGATTCGCATTTAACCTTTCTGCCACATATCAAACATCTAAAAGCCAAATGCCTGAAGGCACTCGACTTGTTGAAAGTCGTTTCCAGTTCAAAGTGGGGAGGGGACCAAACCACCCTCCTTCATTTGTATAGATCACTGGTCCGATCGAAACTTGATTACGGCTCTATCGTATATGGTGGGGCCTGTAAAAGCAACCTCAAACTACTTGATTCTATCCATCACCAGGGTCTAAGACTTTGTCTTGGGTCTTTCAGAACCTCTCCCATTGACAGTCTCTACGTTGAGGCCGATGAGCCATCTTTAAAACTTCGCCGTATCAAATTGTCCTTACAATATATCACAAAGTTATATTCTACTGAATCCAATCCTGCTCACACTTGCGTTTTTAATCCTCTTTATGAGGATTTGTATAATAAAAAACCTTCACTTGTCCCACCTCTTGGGATAAGAATCCAACAATATATCTCTGCTGCTGGCATTGAGTTGGAGAATATATCTCCTTCCCATCTTCTTTCTTCTCCTCCTTGGCAATTAGTGAGGCCACAAGTTGACCTAACACTAACAAAGTTTAAAAAATCCGAAACTAACGAATTACAGTATAAACAAGAATATAATCAATTAAAGAATAAATATAATACATACAAATCCTTATTTACAGATGGGTCCAAGGATGGTGGCGCGGTGGCTTGTGCCACTGTCATTGGATCCAGAACAATCTCCTCTCGTTTACCAGATAACAGCTCTATTTTTACAGCAGAAGCAAACGCCATCTTAACAGCTTTAAAATATGTTCAAAAACACCCTAAATATCAACAATATATCGTCTTTTCTGACTCACTTTCTTGCCTTCAGGCTATTAGAAATATTTCTTGTAAACATCCACTTTTATTAGAAATTATTGAATTGTATAATGAGCTTGCTACTGGCCAATGCGACATCGTCTTTTGTTGGTTACCCAGCCACGTTGGCATTTCTGGGAACACAATGGCTGATCTTGCTGCTAAGGCAGCACTCAACAAATCTGTGACACCACTTCTGATCCCATACTCTGATTACAAAGCTTGCATTAGAACTTACATCCGTGATCTGATGCAAAAGAAGTGGGACACCCAAGTAGGTATCAATAAATTACATGAAATAAAACCCTATATCGGTTACACTTATTTGGGTTGTCAGTCCAGATTTGAGGAGGTCATCATGCGACGATGTCGCATTGGCCACACTAGATACACTCATGCGTACCTATTGAAAGGCGAGGATCCTCCGTTTTGTATCCCCTGTGATGAGAGAACCACGGTTAAGCATGTCCTGCTTGACTGTGTTGAATTCTCCATCATAAGGGATAAATATTTTAATGTTAAAACTGTTAAGGATCTTTTTAGTACTGTTCATGTTCATTTAATTCTTGCTTTTTTAAAAGAAATTGATTTAATTAATGAATTTTGATAAATATGTTCTGTACATATATGTATTTTAATTATTGGTAGATTTGATTAGTAACTTAGATTGTTAGTGGCTGTACCCTCAAAGGGGGTTGAAGTATTGTAAAATTATTGTCCTCCTGAGAGGGTACGTAAGTCCCAAAACATTTCAAGTACATTTAGGTATACCAGGTGTTTTAATCGTAGTATTTTTGTCATTTTAATGTATGGCTAATTATCGGTATAAACGCCAATGGCTGAAGGGATGGTGTAAATCCAGCTAGGGTCCATGCAGGTAGCAAAGGTAATGTAAGTCCCCATGGGCCTTAGTATGGTGATCTACCTTCAGTTGGTGGCGATCTATAGCCCATTTTTACATTGTATTGTCTTCTTTGATTGGAATATTTTAGCTTTGTTCGCTAGTTTTATATTCATATCTGTGATTATCTAGTATTTTTACTTTCCTTCGTAGGCAGGTTTTTATAATATCTATATATATTCTATTTCAATGTCCAATGTTCTCGTCACGATATGGCTGAAATATTGCCGATGTGACGTTAAATTTTAACTCACTCACTCACTCAGGTGCTGTCTACTATGTACACGTAAAGTATTCATCAGAGGTTAGCTTTGATTTTGGTTTTATCTACTGTTAATGTTGAAAGTCCTCGTGTATTCATAGTTTTATCAACGAGTCTTGATATATTTCACATTAACAGATACATGGGTGAGATTCTTTTTATCTTCCAAAAATAGTTCATGAAACATTTTCTATTTGGAAGCAGTCATAAGCAGTGTCTTGGATGTAAACAATGCTGATGAGCAGCTTCAGGAGTACAGAGATGAGTGATAGCAATAGGTCCTGGAAGAGGGGACGTTGGATAGCCTAGTGGTTCGCTCGTCACGCCGAAGACCCGGGTTTGATTCCAAACATGGTTACCAATTCCTGGTGTCTCACGCCGTGATATTTCTGTGATATTACTAAAAGCGGAGTAAAACGGTACTCTCTCAGTCCTCGAAGAGAGTATTTGACTTCACTCCAAGGATATCTCCTATGAAACCAAAGTTTAGATGATAAATGTTTTTTCCATTAATACTCAAGCATTGCGCAGCTGTATTATGAGGCTCTTGTCATATTGGTTTTACATGATCTTACAGATGTGTTGACCTGGGACGGCTGGACAGTGGTGTTTCGGGGCCAGAAAGACACAGGGACGTCCATCTACTCAGCATGGTTGAACGACAACCTCTATCACGACCACCCTCTTCTACCACCTCGACTGAGACCTGGCTGTTTCTCACCTGACACATCTCGTCCATGTGAGGATCATTTCAGAAGCAAGATTATGTCTACATGGGAAACAGCTGGTATACAGCTGGTACGTACAGGTCTAGTCCGTCTACATACAAAAACATGTTATGCTCTATTTCTATATCATTTTTGTTTTTATCGGGGGAGTTCAAACCGGTATACCCACACTGTCCGAATAAGCCACCTATTTCCCCATCACACAGACAGCGATGGAACCCACTGAGTCACCTCGGCTTCCGCTGTTGCTGTTACTAGAACCTGTATGGTAACATGGTGCTGTCACCACTTTCTAAAAAGCATTGTGTATTCGCATACAAAGAAACGCATAGGCCAAAAATAAGGAAATGCTTTAAATGTATTTAAGTGCACAAACGTCGATTAAGCTTGAACATAGATCAAGGAAATTCGACATACGGATTGACATTGTTGTGATTGTCAACATTGATTCAGTTCACTCACCGCACGCTGATGGACACAAGGGGGCGTTCAGGTCAATACCTGGTGATACCACCCTTGCAACCGTCACTGCTCGACACTGTCTTGGAAGGGATTGCACATTCTTCGCCATTCCTCCTGCAACGCGTTGGCAAGTTCTGCAAGCGTCTAAGGACGATGGTGACGTTAACGGACGCGTCAATCAAGTTTGTCCCCTAGATGCTCGATCGGGTTCAGGTCAAGCGATTTTGAAGGCCAGGGAAGGACATTGACGTTTGCATCGGCGAGACAGGCACTGTTACACGAGTTGTGTAGGGTCGAGCGTTGTTGAAACAGCTCCCTCTTGTGGCGGTTGGGAGGAGGTGAGGTTGATGTAGCGACTTGCTGTAAGATAGCCTTGAACCACCACTAGCTCTGACCTCCCCGTGTAGGACATGGCTCCTCACACCATGACGTAAACTCCACCAAATATGTCCACCTGTCGAACGCAGTTCGGCGCAAATCGTTCGTGTTGACGTGGACACGTTGTCTCCCATCCCGTCGTTGCAGGAGGAAACGCGATTCATCGTTGAACCGAACGTGTTCCATGCGTTTCCCAGGTTCCATGCCTGTACCCTGTTGCACCATTGGGCACGTCGTTGTCCGTGTAGGCGTGTCAGGACAGGTCCAACTTTTGGTTGATATGCTCGAATTTAAACTTCTCTCAGACGATTTCTGATGGTTTGGTCGTAAATTCTTGTAAGACCAGGCACCAGCCCTGCAGTGTCCGTTTCTGCAGCAAAACTGTGACAAAGGTGTAACACCCAGATGAATCGGTCCAAAGCAGGAGTGGTCACTCTTGGTCTTCCACTTTTGGGACGATCTTGGGCCGAATTGATCGGATAATTGATGTCATAATCGAGATATGGTGCTGAGGAGGACGTTGAATTGTTTTGCAACCGCAGACTGGGACTCCCCTCCTTCCAAACATCCTTCCTTTCAGTCCGGAGCATTCAATCTTGACATTTCTGATGTTCGTAAATTTCGTAATGAAATGATGACTTTGGTTTGGCCTTTCAATCTTTAATCTTTATTCCGGTACTCAAACGGCCTCGGGCCTATTACACTATATACATTGCTTTATACACGTTCAAGGAACAATGAGACCGCCTCCGTGGTGTAGTGGTTAGAGCGTCCGCCCGGAGAGCGGAAGGTCGCGAGTTCGATCTCCGACCGCGTCATACCAAAAGACGTTAAAATATGGTACTTGTTGGTCCCTGCCAAGCGCTCGGCATTAATGGGTACAACAAGGACTTGTCGGCTCGGAGTCAGTATAATGTGTCTAAGTGGGGTATTCATGCTTAACTGCGGCCTGGTATCTCAGTGGGCTAGCACTATAAAACCAGCTTCAGTCTGGGCTAGTACAAGCAGCCGCACATACACATACACACATGCACATCGTCATATGAGCGAAATATTCTCAAGAACGACGTTAAACCCAATTTCACCTCACCTCAAGGAGCAATTCGCTTTCATGTGCAAATGCGTAGAAAATATATATGGACAGGTTTTCAATTTCTTTAGTATTTGAACTGTTTAGCAGTAGTGAAAACTTAACCCTTTTTGGATGGACATAATATTTTTCTCTTAGATATTTGCTCGAAGGTTAATGTAATTAAGACATAAAGAAGAAAATGATGCTCGTCTTCAATTGCATTTGAATTACATAATTGACAAGTTCTATGTTCTCTATACGTATTTACATATCTACCTTTCTCAATTAAAAGTTCATGAGATGAGCATCGGAATCGTGTTAAACTTACGCTATACCTTTTTCAGTCTAAGTAAACTTAGGCTCAGTATTATTCGTTACACTGTTGTACTGAGTCTAACAAAACCTTGTGGAAGGTCGCGTCAGGTAACCTTTGAGCGACCTATGACCGTCCAATCGAACGTGGGAGGGCCGCGCGGTTATAACCAATCAGACAACGGCTACTATTTAGGATTCGGCGGGACTTACAAAATGGATTTTCACTTCTCCGGTCGCCAACAGTGATCTCACAACAAATGAAAACCCGCATAAAACACAGATATATGACCTGCAGAATATATGCTTTTGGATTTCTGTTGACATGGTTATCATTAGCTAATATTTCCGCAAGCTGACATCCTTGAATGCTGACAAAACGCTATGTTCAGCGACTGTTTACTCACTGTTGTTACTCACTCGGAAGTGATCGTACGGAAAATAGAATTGGGAATCGGGTACAAATCTTTTTCGAGATAAAATTTCAAAAGGTATGTGCGAATGTCAGCTGTCGCGATTTGGTAAGCTGTGTTCTGATTGGTCAATTGAAAATGTTACCTGACGCACCTTCTACTAGGGTTTGTTAGACTCAGTATGGCAGTGTAACGAATAATACTGAGCCTAAGTTTACTTAGACTGTACCTTTTTACATTTAAACATGATATATAGAATTCGGTATGGATATTGTTTGTAAACATTAGGTACTTGTCACATTTGCTTGAAGTAGATAATTTTTCTTGACAGTTTTGAAAATACATATCTTTTAGTCTTTGAGTAAATGATTTGATGAATTCCGGATATATTCCAATTCTTGGTTATGCCAAATATCTCCAAATCCAGTAGAAAATAATAATTGTTTTATATCAGTCACCCAGTATTTGTGTCCATTTCTATCACATAAAAGCATCATATTATAACATTTCTTTGGTAAGCGATAGGTTGGCATGTGTAATAACTTTATCCAATACCGAATTACATTACAATAAGAGTGTATATATAAAGGAACCCTGCCACATTCTCCATAGATCATGATATATGGAGTGTTTTGTTTAACACCCAAAAACATTTTACAGGCATACAAATGTACCATTGCTAATTTTCCAAGTGTATGTAATCAACAAATGTCTGCGCCAATAGAATAGGAAATCTGTTTACAACAAATATTTTGAAAAATGAATTCATACTGAGATCACCAAGAAATATGTATTTGTGTTAGGATTCCTAGAAGTACTTTCTGTGCCTGCAATGCTGCATAGTTTGCATACAATGACCATGATAATTGATTAGTGAAGTATACACCAAGATATTTGTAAGATTTTGTAGTTTCAAGTTTAGAATCTTTATAATACCATTTTTCGTTTTTTCCTAATTTTCTACCATTTCTAAATACCACTACTTTTGTTTTATCCAAACTGTCAGCTTTGACTGCTCACAAAGTTTTCCAGTTCATATATTTGCCTTTGCAGGCCAATAATAGTGCTTGATATTAAGACAATGTCATCAGCACAAAGCAACAGAAATAGTTGGAAGATATCCGGATGTAATTGTACGCCGTGTGTACAATTATTCTCTATCTGTGTGGCCAATTCATTTATGAAAAAAGAAAATAAGAAAGGGATCAATACACAGCCTTGTCCGACTCCTACCTACTTGTATGTCAAAGGTTTCTGATATTACATTATTATTTCTGATACAAGCTTTAACATTCTGATATATTATTTGTCTTAAGAGATTATTCATTTTAGGGCTTAGTCCACTTGTGTTTAGAAGAAAGGTTTGGCCTTTCATAGTTGAAGTCTCTACTCATGTTTCCGACACATTGCAATTGCATTACGCGGAAAACGTTTTCTGCCCGCTCTTTTCATGTATCGCTTTCATTTTTAGGACAAACGTTTATAAACACATTTTAGGATGCGTTTGCACGCAAGACACACCAACCATGATACAAACATAGGAATTGTCTTAATGATGATTGCTGTCAAAACGTATGGAAATGAACAAAATGTTAGGTTTGTGCATAATTGAAATTCAATTTCGGTTTCCTGTGGAGTAGTAGTTTTTTTTCCAATTGAAAAAAAGTGTTTAATTGTTTATTTTCATCTATGAAGTAGTCGTGACAGAGTTATCTCCCTTTCGTTTTGTTTACAGCAGGCATCGTCTCCTTGATTTATCATAATGGATCACACTGTTTTCCCGTCCTGTCTGTAATAAATCAGATCACAAAACTCGTGGATATTGAATGTGGAAAATATTCCAACTCAATGTTTTTAAACGTTTGAAAATATATCGTTGAATATTTTTCATAGTCAAAACCCACTCGTTTTGTAATCTCTACATGTATGTTCATCATCTCATGAATTTATACTGAGAGAAACAAATAAAATATCACGGGAAAATGCAAGCGTCCCTTTATAATATTCCAGTTTTCATCACCACAGCGCTATTCAGAGCTGGTGGTGAAAACTGGAAAATATTACAGGAACGTTTGAATTTTTTCTGTGATCCCGTATTACTTTCTCTCAGTATATTGCCCACATACAGACACACACTGTGAGTTTTATGTTGTTGTTCAGCGTAGTAGCAATAAGACTACGGCAACCCAGTGGAAGAATCAAGCGTGTCTGCTTGAATGCGTGCATCTGTGTTATCATCTCACAAAGTTATCATACTATAATGGCTTCTCTTTCAGGTGAAAGTGTTACTGATGAAGAACAGTCAAGTTCGGAATGAAATTATCTTCGATGGAACCGGCACAACCAAGATGTCCTGGTTTACACCAACCAGGGTGATCAATTCAACATGGACGGATCTCACGACGTCAACCTTCAATGTTTTCAGAATCAGTGGGTATGTGTCAAATAATTACATATGATCAAGATTTGGAAATGAAATGAAGGGAATTGTAAATGAAATCAAATATTATGTTGAATAAAGGATTAAATTAAATCTTTTTATATAATATTCATAAAAATTCAGTTAAAGTCTCAATAAATGATACGGCAAAAGCAAACCGTTCACTGTGAAGAAAGGGTCAGTACCGAACTTCCGGGTTCCTAAATGCCCTTTCGTTCTTCATAAAAATAGTTCTTGTTCTGAGAGACTTAGGGTTTGTAAATACATTGTGAATTTAGGAAAGTGGTTTATTGCAATAAACGATATGTAGTTGTGACTGCTAGTAAATTTCAGCAGAACTGGTGTTCAGCAACCTATGCTTGTCGTGACCTTTGCTAGTCGGATCATCGGGATCAGATAGTCAGACTTGGTTGACACATGTCATCGGATCCCAATTGCATAGATCGATGCTCATGCTGCTGATCACAGGATTGTCTGGTTCAGACTCGAATATTTACACACCGCCGCCAAATAGCTGGAATGTTGCTGTGTACGGCGTTAAGCAACAAATAATTAATCAGTACCCGAGGAACATGGTTTCTTCACAGAGAGCCCACCACACACCGCCGCCAAATAGCTGGAATGTTGCTGTGTACGGCGTTAAGCAACAAATAATTAATCAGTACCCGAGGAACATGGTTTCTTCACAGAGAGCCCACCACACACCGCCGCCAAATAGCTGGAATATTGCATGGTTTCTTCACAGAGAGCCCAACACACGCCGCTTCCAGGTGAGCCACTCATACGCTTGGTGTCATGGCGATGTTTTATGGATGGTTGTCGTAGACGGAAATGACCACAGTAACATATGTTTCTGGGATAACCCGTCAGTCTTCCCCAAGCTGCTCTACACCATCATCAATCAGAAGGCGCCCATAGGGACGTTGACAGGTAATTCAGGACTGCAGGTGTACTGTCAAAACGTGTGACAGTGAGCATTGTTTTACGCCGCTTTAGCAATAGTTCAGCAATATCACGGCAGGAGATACCAGAAATGGGATTCACACGTTGTACTCATGTGGGGAATCGAACCTCGTCCTTTGGCGTGATGAGCGAACGCTTTAACCACTGGGCTACCCCTCCATCCCGGAAATACGTGTGTAGGCGCACGCATCCATATCACTTTAGTGCGTATATGGTCGATTCTTCAGTAAAATTGCACGTTGTGAATGTGTAACTGACTTAAATAAAACTAGTACTTGAGCCTTTCTCAGCAGAACTTTGCCCAATAGTGTTTTGACTGCAAGACAAATACCCAGTAGTTTTGCAACAATCTTATCAATATTATAAACTAAACAAGCGCCTTATCACTTATCAGTATTAGCCCGCTGATTTCATGTATTACTTATAGTGTGTTTGCAGTGAAAACGTACCGATGAATTTCACTTTAAACAAAACTGTAAATCAATAAAGTGAAATTAAGATTGCGAATCCTCATAATTTTACCTTGCCAATTGAACATTTTAAACTCAGAATTTTATTCATTTTGGGATAAAAGTTGTTTAACAAACGATCATAGTTTCAAATCGCTATTATTGGTTTGTATTACAAGACGGTAAGTGCAGTATTTGGAACAGTGAAACAAATGCACGTGCGGTACGTGAAGAGCGTTAACTTAGACCAACCCTTCTTGTTCTCGGTGTTTCATTTAATGAGCATACCCCCTTGTAATACAAATCAATAATAGCGAATTGAAACTATGATATTGGCAAACAAGGTTAGTTTCAACCATCATGTAGCTTTCATAGCATCAGTACAGACTTTCGATGTTTCTAATATACTCTCAAAAACAAAGAAACGCACCTATGTATTTTAACATATTTAATATGCTAACTAAAGAAGATAACACATGTAATTCAGGATCAGTTGCAGCCAACTTTCACAGTATAATAGATCAAATTCTGTTAACATGTATAGCTTATAAATACATGTAGTTCAATAAGTGGAGGCGTCCAGGCTTCCAAGTTGGGCGTTGTCTTCAGTATCTGTTGTGGCCATCGTGATTCCTCAGAACTGCACGTGCATATTGCGTACCACTCTTTGTTCTGGGCATTTCGATGCAAGTTGACGTGCATTAAAGTTTCCGGAGATGACGTTTTGCGCTGCGCATTCGATTCATGTCCATTTGGAATTTCATATATCAATATCACCCATGCGTTTCTTTTTTTGTGACAATATAAATATAGGGTTATCATACAAATTTTAGAAACAATGTGCCGTGGCAACCTATATAAGTCTGCAGGGCAACAGATAAGGGGCGTACAGGCGTAATGTACGCCTAAAAATCAATGAAGTACGACATAATATAACATTTCAAGCGTATCATGTACGCACATAAATACCTTTGTAAGTCTTACATTTATAAAGTTTCATAGCTGAAAAGTTGTTTAATATTAAAAATAACAAACCACATCACCAACTCGCTCCCACAAAAAACATGTAAGTACTCCTTCAAAATTCTCAGCACACCGCCACTTGCAATGTGAGGTGTAAGTACACCCGCACCCCAAAAGGTTATCTGGTGCCCTGTAAGTTATTTTCTTCTCTGAATGCTGCTTCCGAATCTTATCGATAATTAAATACCAAATATACGATAGATTGGTCCTAAATACGATATGCTTCTAGCAAGAAGCGATATGTGGGTTGGTTGTTAGGTCCGGGGACTTGGTTCATTGAGCGTCATCCTACTGTTACGTAATTGGTCGCTAATTGTGACTGCAACCGAAAGCCTCCCCTTTACTCAGGTATTAACATATTGCTGTCATATAAACAATCGCTTGTTGTCATCACTTTCAGTGATCCGTTCATATCATTTCATCACTACTTGACCCTTTTCGCCCAATGGAATCTGTGTCGACATGTACGCGAGGTTTAACAGTATAAAGATAAAAATACACGGTTATAACAGGGACTGATAGAGATACTTTTCTTTGTGTAGATGTGCGTCAGTTTACATTTCAAATAAACTCACACATGTTCAATACTCGTGTGTATTCAACAGCCCCATTCTGAATTTGAACGATGCCTAGTACACAGGTAAATTGTAGCGCAAATTGGGTTGCGCAACAAAGAGAAAATTACCAGTCTTCCCATATGCGAGCGAAGCGAGCAAAGGTTGGCTACGTGCTTCCCTCGCTTCGGTTCGAAAAATATTTTTAATATCAAAATAAAATATCGCCATCATCAAAGGTAGACACCCATTTCCTCGCAGAGTTGTGCTCTCAGATTTCCAATCTCATATTTAATAATTACTCACGTACAAAATATTTAATTCAATATTTTAAGCGCCACTCGTGGCATGTCAAATCGTTCTTTTTCTCTTTGTTGCGCACCCCTATTTGCGCTACAATTTGCCTGTGCCTAGTAGTTCCACTGCTGTAAAATGTTGCAGGTATCCATTCAACGTACGCTGCAGGTATTAACCATGCTTGCTTCTTTTCAGAGTTCGAGTACGGAGACATCATGGCGATTCTTGTTAAACAGGGAAACTAAGGTCACGAAACGTCTTTCCCAACAGTTGCTTGGTTCTAGATCTCTGGCCTCTACCTGGATGAAGAATGACAAGTCAACTGCTGATTTACCACAATGCCTTTACGCCTGGATGCAGAATTTCCTTTCCGACGCAAATTTTATAAGTTCTGAAAAGTGAACTTTGTGCGAAAATTACGTGCACGCTGCCCTGGATCTCCCCAAGACTGCAAAATTAGTTTAAATTACACAGAAATGTATAATATGAAATTTCTTAACGGATGGTATTAATTCAAGTGCAACTAATTGGGCAGTTTTAAAAAAAGGCACCGTTAAGTGTTGTGCGAAGTTTTGTTAACCGTTAAAAACTAGTTGTAAATTTCTCCGTTTTTTATCATATACAGTCAACTCCCGTTAATCCGACACTTGTGGTTGCAGATTAACATTTCGGATTAACGAGAATGTCGGATTAATGTATTTGTGTGAATATATCAATGTTTTCAATGACATGAACGTCATACTGTTGCAAAGTAATATAGTCAGCTTTACGTATAATTGTACATGGCAAAATGTAGATAATGAAGTTAGTTTTCTGAAAATATGCCTGAAAGATATCGTAACGTAAAATGTATATAACAAACTGTAAGCGACAGGATCGGATTATTGTGTTTACTCACATTCAACAATGTTGTACACGGGATTTTCGAGAGATCCTTCCTTGACATTCGTGACCAACTCGTGTTATTCCGGGACAAGCCGAATAGCGACTCGTGCCCCTCTGGAAGGATTTCATATTGGCGCATGAACATCAGAACTACTTTAAACAAGAACGATAACTCTATCCCTGTTTGATTCCAATGTTTCTAAAAATCACCGAAGCACATGTACATTGTATAGCTAGGTTGTTGTTTTTGTTTTTTTCCCACTTATTTATTTTAAATAAATAAACCTCTGTGATACAACTAAAAGAAGGAGAAAAACATATTTGTTAAAGACATATTCTAATGTAATTATTACCAGCTGTTCACCTTATATTTCCAATTATGTTAATTAATAGGGTTCTTAATAGGGTTTAATCATCACAAGTGGGAATTGTTTTATTGAATATACAAATAAAATAAACAAAATTCAGCTACATTAAATACCAAAGCAGATACTCAAAAATGACTTTAAAATCTTTCTCAAACTGAACATTCGTGTAACCTTGCTGTCACACCCCTGGTGGAATTTTAAATGAATTCGCTGAAAAAATATGAATTACCAAAAAACAGTCACACGAAAATATCCCCAGAGATATGAAATGTAAGCCCAATGTTAAAGATTAAGGTTGATTAGTTACATACAAATACGATATTATTGTTTTGAAACTGGGAGCGATTACAATTACATTTCCTAAAACTGGTCGAAGCGCACGTACAATCTCCATAACAAGCCCGCAAGATCGTCAGAAATACACTCAGTTGGACCCATGAGAGCAGTTATGTCAACAAACGCACGTGCGTGTATTTGAATCACTCGCATGATTCTTATTAAAAACTTCATAATAGGCAGCAAAATCCTTTCACCTACGTTTTTTGTACTTTCAATATGACGATATATATTTTTCATGATTTTTAAAAAAATGACATAATGCCATAAACGATTTAAGTACTCGTGATTATTTTATCAAAGCACTGCGCTCATTTACGCGCGTTCTGATTGGTTTGTCGTAATTTCGCACATAACAAGTATCGAGTGGGGGACGAGTCTTTCTTGGAGGTTACGGAAAAGGGGCGAGTGGTGACGAATGTCAGGGAACGTTTGCCCATAAATATGTGAAGTAAGTGGTCAGAAAGATTATGACCATCTGCGTATTTTTTTTTATTGTTTTCATTGTAACCAAGAGAGGAAGTCAGAAATGTCGATAATTACTGTCGTCGTTGTGCGTCATTTTGCGTCTAGTTGTCACGGACACTGTGGTAATTTCGCTTGAATTCACTATATGGTTGTAATGTACCTATTTTTATTTTTTATACAACATGCTACGATACTCTTTCCATGCATATAGTAAATGCATTGAGCCAATGCACGCAACGAATAAACGATTTGATCTATAACAATTTGAGAAAATGCTTCACAGTACAAAACTACTGAATCTTTCTCTGTTTACATTTCAAACAATCAGTTTTTCGAGCCCAGCGTTCGTTTTCACAGCCAATGTGTTTTGTTTGATTTCTTCTAGATACTTGATATTGGTGACAAACACCATTTGTTATTTGATTAGACAATGTATAAGGAATTCAGTTATGTATTTGTCGCTGCTGAATGTGAAATATACGTATCCAAATTTACCTTTGAGTAACCAAATAAATTGTACCCACCTTACTCAAACTCAATTGGGTATTTTGCGATTTTCCATTAATTGTAAAAATATAATAAAGTTTAAATGTTGGCCTTTGTTATTTGTATTTGATCTGTAATATGAGTAACGGTAAGAAGGACAGCAAGTTGCCAAGTTCATGTGTTGAAATAGAACCTCTCAAAATACCTAAGTTATTTTATCTATCCATCGATAGGCAAGCTGAGATTTTTGTGTGTACGCATGTAAGATCACATTTATTGAGTATTTACGAAAATTCAAGCGTACATGTACGCATCAGTCTCAAAAAGAAATTGATTTTTCACATAAATATTTGCGTAATTTACGCAGATCCGCAGCTTATCTGTACCTCTGGAATAGCTTCCAAGTACCGGAAGCGCGGGTAGAGTCCGTAGTGCTTGGCGAAAGGGGGATAACTGAGGAATATTCCCAATTTCACTATTGATATCCCTTGGCTTGGGACAGGAAATAAGTCTAAATCTGTAGCATCAATTACGTCTTAAGATGGGTGGTGGAAACAAAGCCCCATATAATGGCACAACATTTCAACGCAAATTGTGAGCGTTATACTTTCAATGTGAGAAAATTATATATTAAACGATTTGATCTATAACAATTTGAGAAAATGCTTCACAGTACAAAACTACTGAATCTTTCTCTGTTTACATTTCAAACAATCAGTTTTTCGAGCCCAGCGTTCGTTTTCACAGCCAATGTGTTTTGTTTGATTTCTTCTAGATACTTGATATTGGTGACAAACACCATTTGTTATTTGATTAGACAATGTATAAGGAATTCAGTTATGTATTTGTCGCTGCTGAATGTGAAATATACGTATCCAAATTTACCTTTGAGTAACCAAATAAATTGTACCCACCTTACTCAAACTCAATTGGGTATTTTGCGATTTTCCATTAATTGTAAAAATATAATAAAGTTTAAATGTTGGCCTTTGTTATTTGTATTTGATCTGTAATATGAGTAACGGTAAGAAGGACAGCAAGTTGCCAAGTTCATGTGTTGAAATAGAACCTCTCAAAATACCTAAGTTATTTTATCTATCCATCGATAGGCAAGCTGAGATTTTTGTGTGTACGCATGTAAGATCACATTTATTGAGTATTTACGAAAATTCAAGCGTACATGTACGCATCAGTCTCAAAAGAAATTGATTTTTCACATAAATATTTGCGTAATTTACGCAGATCCGCAGCTTATCTGTACCTCTGGAATAGCTTCCAAGTACCGGAAGCGCGGGTAGGTCCGTAGTGCTTGGCGAAAGGGGGATAACTGAGGAATATTCCCAATTTCACTATTGATATCCCTTGGCTTGGGACAGGAAATAAGTCTAAATCTGTAGCATCAATTACGTCTTAAGATGGGTGGTGGAAACAAAGCCCCCATATAATGGCACAACATTTCAACGCAAATTGTGAGCGTTATACTTTCAATGTGAGAAAATTATATATTCAAACATTCACAGTAACTGATTCTAAAATTCCGGTTTGTTTTACATAGGAAAAATGTGTTTTTCGTGTACAATTTCCATTTAACGAAATCCAAATTCTGCCATCTGTAAACTAAAGACTGTTAAGTTTTTTGTTCAGGCACACATATAATACATATCTTGGTATTCGAAAATACAATAAAACACGAGACAACATACATCTGCATCAATTTGCAATTGCTATTAGTGTCATAATGAGATCAGCACCGATAATATACTCTTCAACAAAAGTAGAGGAACTTCATTTTTATTTTACGTTTTAAAAAAATGGAAGATATGTCGGAGTGAATCAATGTTGATATGATAATTATGAACATTCAGAGAGTGCTTCATCACTTGCACTTCCTTATGACAATAGTTGCTTGTAATGTGATCGCTCTTGAAAAATGATTGGTGTTTGACGTGAAATTTTGCATGTGTACGATTTTCATTTTCAAACAGTAAAAAACAGCTAGAAACAAACACTAACAACCGTGTGATGCAAGAGGATTGTTAAAACTAATGGTCTACAGTGATTTATCGACCTTCTTGAAAACCGTCAAAATCAAACTTCCTTTCCAAATTGAAAGTACAGGTTCCCCTACTTTAACTTGCAAAAGCGATACCAGCGAGGGAAGTCAATCACAGACTCAATTGTTCAGTGTGGTGCAATAAAAGTGGCCGTGATCAAGAGCAATTCTACTGTAGCACTCGGCAATGTTTCAGCTGGAATACTGCCGAGTGCTACAGTAGTTATATCAAGACCTACCAGCTTAATAATGCAGGAAAACATGAACTGACGGAGATCGAAGTGATTGATACAACGTGGGAACAATACATGATGAAGCGGACATACAATCATTATGCGTCCTACTGAATAGGTTTATTTTGAGTGATTGAGTGAGTTTACTTTTACACCGCTATTAGCAACATTCCAGCAATATCACGGCGGGGGACACCAGAAATGGGCTTCACACATTGTACGCATGTGGGGAATCGAACCCGGGTCCTCGGCGTGGCGAGCGAATGACAGGGACTGGAAACCGTTGCTTTTGTTATTTCTTTTTTTTTCCCGCGGGTAACCGGATGATACTTTAAAAAGTTAGTAGTATATACAATGATAGACCTTTCTTAAAAGTGATCTCGGACTATCATTGTATATACTACTAAGTTCATGGCCACCTCGGCTGCGCCACCCGTAAACGCAAATCATAGAGCAAAGGTGTCTCATCACACTGATCAACAAAGATGAAATACCGTTTTGTCTTGAAATTAGTTTTGAAATGCAGTCACCTTTATGACCCCTTAACATTTTCGCTCTTTTTCAAAATGGCTGAAAAATATGTCCACCTAGTTTATTATGATCATAACAATTGCAAACATTTGAGGTTTGATTCCATCTCTTTAAAGTGTCAGGACTGAAAGAAAACGGAAGTCACTTTATGTTTCTATTTTTTGGCCTTTAATTTCAGCAGAATTAATCTATAATTATGTTTTTACGCACTTTGGAACCTCATATCAGGCAGTTACCCTGTTCGAAGAAGTATCCGAAATATCGGAGACAAACGTAAATTAGATTTATGTTTGACTGAACTGAAGTCTCTAAATTTCACTTGAAACCGAGCGCATAGTACGTTTATCTCCTAATTATTACACGACTACGAAAATACTCTAATTTGATTGGACAATAAATAAAATTAGAATTTGAATTTATTGATTGTCCAATGAAATTCGAGTATTTCATGGTCATGGTATAATATGCTGTACATCTGTAGTTGGCAAAGAAACTTCCATGTCACTTGTCAATTAACAACCTAATCTTGTACCTCAGTGTCAGTCACAATACCATGAAGGTTGCCTGGACTGCTGGGATACCTTATCAAAATCAGACGAGGACAATGTGGGGCATTCCATAACATCTGATGAGCATCCATCGTTCTTTGTTCTGCTTGTGTGGCTTGAAGAAAAATTAACTGACATGTGTCTTTTGGAATATGCATAAACATTGAAAATGAAAAAAATAAAATTGGTGAAGATGTTGAACTTTGCGCTGAATCTCACACAGTCACTTTGTTCTTGTTTGATGGGCCATGTCAGTGAGTGAGTGAGTGAGTTGGGGTTTACGCCGCTCTTAGCAATATCACGGCGGGAGACACCAGAAATGGGCTTCACACATTGTACCCAAGTGGGGAATCAAACCCGGGTCTTCGACGTGACAAACGAACGCTTTAACCACTTGGCTACCCCACCGCCCCCTCCTTTAAACAATATCATAAGGATAAATAGCCACTAAAAAAAGGCATGGCCTTGTGTGTGGCCCGACGTGATTTTAGTTTGACGTAACTTTGAACAGTAACCATTTTAGCCGCTACTATATTTGAACAATGTTGTCGCCGTAACACAAACGAAAGTCATACGGGGTCAATGTTAAATTGTACACCTGCACGTTACGAAAACTCTTTCGAAAGCTTACTGAAACCTTGAATGAGTGAGTGAGTTTACTTTTACGCCGCTTTTAGCAATATTCCAGCGTTATCAGGGCGGGCGACACCAGAAAGGGTCTTCACGCACTGTACCCATGTGGGGAATCGAACCCGGGTCTTCGGCTTGACGAGCGAACGCTTTAACCACTAGGCTACCTCACCGCCCCCTCTCTGAAAGAATGAATGTTGTTACCTCGGTCAAACAACTTTTGAGCAAGATCGGTATGGCGTTCTGTGTAGTCCTGGTAAAATGAACATGCTCGATTGTATCCCAAAACTTGTGAAATATAAACAGCAATGGTTGAAGCTGTTACAATAAACACTCAACATCAGTAAACATATAAAAGTTTTACTACCACAAACTACACTTGGTTTAAACATCGGGTAGTTGAACAGCGTTATAATTCTTCTACATTCTACTACAGTGTTATAGTTGCAGACAGTGTGCGAAATCGTTTTCAAATTTTGCTACCAAGTCGGGCTAGCTATGCCTGAAAGTTACTAGCCCACAAAATAATTCACTAGCCCGAAATTTGAATGTAGAGACGGGTTTCATCATAAAGCTGCTAATATAATGAACAGTTGTATCAGGCCATAATCTTGCATGATTTAAAAGTGTGTTATAACTTAATAAGTAGGAGAGAGTGATATATTTACAAAATGACCACATGAAAATTCACTAGTCAGTCGGGCCAGTGGCTGTGAAGATTTACTGAACAGACTGGATTTTTACTAGCCACGGGCTAGTGGGACAGTGACTATTTCGCACACTGGTTGCAGGCACATATTCCTTGGTGTTTGTTGTCTGCTTTCCACAAACATGAAATAGATCATGGAAACGATCATTTCATATTGCTGCGTATCTTGTCCTCAAGGGCCTCCTCGTCAGCACCTTCCAGTTTGTCGACCTGCAAGGAGATCAGATCACGTGTCGTGAGTGAGTGTGTGTGTGAGTATGTTTTTACGCCGCTTTTAACAATATTACAGCAACACCATGGCGGGGTACACCATGCTTCACACAGTATGTGGGGAATCGACCCCGTCCCTGGGCGTGTTGAGCGAACGCTTTAACCTATGGGCTACCCAACCGCCCTACGTGTCACATTTAAAAAACTTTCAATTGCTATGATGTATGAATTATCCAAATTTGTTGTCTTGCAGTCATGAAGAACTATACATTTTTTTTACAATACGTACCATACATATTGATAGCCTTATGGTTAAAGCGTCCGCTCATCGCGCCGGGTTCGATTCATGACATTGACACAATGAGTGAAGTCCATTTCCCCCGCCCTGATATTGCTGGAATATTGCTAAAAGCGGCGTAAAACTAAACTCATTCACTATAAACTAGAAATACGTTGCTTTAAATGTCACTGAGATTGTCTGGTCCTTATTTACAGACCGCCGCCATGAGCTGGAATATTGGTGAGGGCGGCATTAAACAACAAACTACATATTTATTGATCAGAACTGTTACAATATATAACAGAAAGTATTGGTCATTTTTTCAACAGGTCCGTTAGACGTTTGTTAATATATACATCTTTGAGATCAAATATTTTTAAGCACCACTGATAAATGGAAGCTAAATTTAGATTTAGGTGTAGTAATTTTTATTATTTTATGAGATACCTCTTGTCCGTTTTTGTAGAACTTGAACGTCGGCATACACGAAATACAGCAAGCCTTTGACGTTTCCTGACGAGAATACACGAAATTTGGGTGAATGTACAGGTAGATTCAATCACAAACCAAATACTATAATAAACAAAGTGTGAAATTCCGTGGTAACATCACATTCTACAAGTTCTCAGTGTATCTTTTCACGATTAATAATTATCATACTAAATTGTATCAATGGTAGCTAATATGTAGCTAAACCCGTGAAAGATTTAGAATTGCTCTTCAGCAAGAGGAGACTCACGGTTGGTTGGTTGCTGTTATAGCGGCGGTCTGTAATTAATGGAGACTGAACAGTCAATCCAGTGATCAACAGCTTGAGCATCGACCTACGCATTTGGGATACGTTGACATGTGTCAACCAAGTCAGCGAGCCTGACCACCCGATCCCCTTAGTCGCCTCTAACGTCAAACGTGGTTTCTGAAGACCAATTCTAACCCGGATAAACTTGGGTTGGCGTCTAACGGGATCGGTGGTCAAGCTCGGTGACTTGATTGACTCATGTCATCGTATCCCAATCGCGTAGATCGATTCTCATGCTATTGATCACTGGATTGTCTGGTCCAGACTCGATTATTTACAGACCGACGCCTTATAGCTAGTATATTGCTGAGTGCGGCGTTAAACAGCTGATAAAAATAAATAAATAGACTGAAAATATAATAAAAAAATATTAAAATATAATTATTTGACTGAAAATACCGTTAATGCTACAACGGAAAGTAACTCTTACCGAATTGTTGTCCACGTCTACCTTGAAAAACATAACTTGGAAGTATTTCTCCGACAATGACTGCAACATCAGATACTTAAATTATATTTTACATGTATTTTATGCAATTAACATTATATAGAATTGTGATGCGGTAGATTAACCAACATTCGATGAGGTCACATTTCAGCCGCAAACAATACAACAGCTCACAGGAAACATGCAAATTTTAGGAACATACAGCAGCTGGGATGAAACATACAACTTCATGGATACTACAACAGCTGAGAAGAAACATACAACCTTATGGATCCTACAACAGATGACATGAAACACAACTTTATAGACCCTAAAGTAGCTGAGATGAAACATACAATTCTATGGATCCTACAACAGCTGATATGAAACATACAACTTTATGGATCCTACAACAGCTGATATGAAACATACAACTTCATGGATCCTACAACAGCTGATATGAAACATACAACCCTATGGATCCTACAACAGCTGATATGAAACATACAACTCTATGGATCCTACAACAGCTGATATGAAACATACAACTCTATGGATCCTACAACAGCTGATATGAAACATACAACTTTATGGATCCTACAACAGCTGATATGAAACATACAACACTATGGATCCTACAACAGCTGATATGAAACATACAACTTTATGGATCCTACAACAGCTGAGATGAAGCATACAACTCTATAGATCCTAGAAGAGCTGATATGAAACATACAACTCTATGGATCCTACAACAGATGAGATGAAACATACAACTCTATGGATCCTACAACAGCTGAGATGAAACAGACAACCTTATAGATCCTACAACAGCTGATATGAAACATACAACTCTATGGATCCTACAACAGCTGATATGAAACATACAACTCTATGGATCCTACAACAGCTGAGATGAAACAGACAACCTTATAGATCCTACAACAGCTGAGATGAAAAATACAACTTTATGGATCCCACAACAGCTGAGATGAAACATACAACTCTATGGATCCTAGAAGAGCTGAGATGGAAACATACAACTTTATGGATCCCACAACAGATCAGATGAAACATACAACTTGATAGACCATACAACAGCTGATATGAAACATACAACCCTATGGATCCTACAACAGCTGAGATGAAACATACAACTCTATGGATCCTAGAAGAGTTAAGATGGAAGCATACAACTTAATGGATCACACAACAGATGAGATTAAACATACAATTCTATGGATCCTACAACAGATGAGATGAAACATACAACTTTATGGATCCTAGAAGATCTGAGATGGAAACATACAACTTGATGGATCCCAAAACAGATCAGATGAAACATACAACATTATAGACCCTACTACAGCTGAGATGAAACATACAATTCTATGGATCCCACAACAGCTGAGAGGAAACATACAACTCTATGGATCCTACAACAGCTGAAATGAAACATACAACTCTATGGATCCTAGAAGAGCTGAGATGGAAACATACAACTTGATGGATCCCACAACAGATGAGATGAAACATACAACACTATGGATCCTACAACAGATGAGATGAAACATACAAATCTATGGATCCTAGAACAGCTGAGATGGAAACATACAACATTATAGACCCTACTGCAGCTGAGATGAAACATACAATTCTATGGATCCCACAACAGCTGAGAGGAAACATACAACTCTATAGATCCTACAACAGCTGAGATGAAACATACAACCCTATGGATCCTACAACAGCTGAGATGAAACGTACAACTTTATGGATCCTAGAACAGCTGAGATGGAACATACAACCTTATGGATCCCACAACAGCTGATATGAAACATACAACTTTATGGATCCTACAACAGCTGATATGAAACATACAACTTTATGGATCCTACAACAGCTGATATGAAACATACAACTTTATGGATCCTACAACAGCTGATATGAAACATACAACCCTATGGATCCTACAACAGCTGATATGAAACATACAACTCTATGGTTCCTAGAAGAGCTGAGATGGAAACATACAACTCTATGGATCCTACAACAGCTGAGATGAAACATACAACTCTATGGATCCTACAACAGCTGATATGAAACATACAATTTATGGATCCCACAACAGCTGATATGAAACATACAACCCTATGGATCCTACAACAGCTGATATGAAACATACAACTCTATGGTTCCTAGAAGAGCTGAGATGGAAACATACAACTCTATGGATCCTACAACAGCTGAGATGAAACATACAACTCTATGGATCCTACAACAGCTGATATGAAACATACAATTTATGGATCCCACAACAGCTGAGATGAAACATACAACTTTATGGATCCTACAACAGCTGAGATGAAAAGATACAACTTTATGGATCCCACAGCAGGTGATATGAAACATACAACTTTATGGATCCTAGGACAGCTGAGATGGAAACATACAACTCTATGGATCCCACAACAGCTGATATGAAACATACAACTCTATGGATCCAAACACGGATATACAGATGTATACAGACACGTACAGGTGTATACAGACACGTACAGATGCATACAGACACGAACAGATGCATACAGACACGTACAGATGCATACAGACACGTACAGATACATACAGACACGTACAAGTGCTTCCAGAATGGTACAGGTGCATACATACACGTACGTACAGGTGCATACAGACACGTACAGGTGCACAGAGACACGTACAGATGCATACAGACACGTACAGGTGTATACAGACACGTACAGATGCATACAGACACTTACAGGTGCATACAGACACATACAGAGACATACAGATGCATAGAGACACGTACAGATGGATACAGACACGTACAGGTGCATACAGTCACGTACAGGTGTATACAGACACGAACAGGTGCATACAGACACATATAGGTGCATACAGACACGTACAGGTGTATACACACACGTACAGATGCATACAGACACACTCACAACAACTGGCAATAGTGACCAGTGTAACTGCACAATACCTACCAATACCATAGTATTACAGTATCTCGATACTTCCGATACTGACTTCAATATCCATATCTATCTACTCACGATATTGGGTGAGTGAGTGGTTTTACGCCGCTTTTTGCAATATTCCAGCAATATCACGGTGGGGGACACCAGAAATGGGCTTCACACATTGTACCCACTGTGATGAATCGAACCTGGGTCTTCGGCGTGACGAGCGGACGCTTTAACCGCTAGGGTACCCCGCCGTCCCCACGATATTGAGACCAGTTACTACACTGTATGGTCACAACACTGGTCTCTCAGTAGTACTCAACAAATTAAGACTGTCGACAAAGTTACCTTAAGGATAGGCGCAATTTTTACACACGGGCCACACCATGTCGCATAGAAGTCCACCACGATCAGTTTGCCTGGACTCCCCGCCAGGATCTGGTCAAACTCAGCCTGTAACCGAGAGATGTTTTAATTACTCCATTAAACAAGGCATTCAAGTACTACGTCTAACATTCGGAAATTTATACTTGTGCAGAAATACATAAGTAGTGAGTGAGTTTTAACACTTTGTCGCTTCTAGCAATAATATCCAACAATCTCTCTGCAGGGTGCACGAGGAATGGGCTTCACACATTGTACCCCTAATGGAAATCGAACCCGACGAGCGCGGATTTTAAGCAAATAAACCAATAAACATAAATAGATTAGTTTAGAAAATGTTAATTCCTTGTTTTCAGTTATATATTTAGAGCTTTCGGAATTATATATTTTTTGTTGCTGGTTTTACCTTTGTGTCTAGAACTCGCATCTTTTTTGAAATATCGATTTCTGGAACATAAAATAAATCCATGAGTTACATTAATCAAGTACATAAAAATGTAGAATGATGCAGATTTAATGCTGACCGACATAGTCATATTATTATGATGAAGAAAGTGATATATGCCTCCTCAAAAAAATGTTTTAATATCACGTGAAATTAAAATATTGTTTATTATTAATAAAGGTATTGTCAAGAATTACGATCGACAAGTTCACCACATCGTTGGCCGTTGTTGAAACGGAATTGGTAAATAAACCATAGAAGTAACGGAAAATAACATGAACTTACCTGAACCGGGTTCAAAGTGTCTGTGGTGCGATCCGTCAGCCCCGCCTCGCCACCCTCTTTTATACCTGACGTGGACACGCTGAAGAACACCTTTCATGGTACAGCCAATCGTTGATTATCGTCACTTTCAAAGCATAGCTTTTAATATTACCCAATAAATGAAGTTTTCCTGATCATGAATAATGTATTGATAAAAGCGCTGTTCTAACACGTATGCGTTCAAACCAGTGGAACAGCTGTAGTTGAACAATATGCATTCTGTGACGTTCACACAGTAGATGGTTCCGCGGGAAAGGATACTATTTCCCTGAAACTACACTCCATAAAAACCTCATGATTCACTAGTCTGATATAGTGGTTAGAGCCTTTGTACGGAGAGTGTTGCTACCTTGCCGACTCGTTACCTAGTCTGACTCATAGTCCCTGAAGACCCATGACGATCCTGGTTAGAAGAGGTCTTTAGCAACCCATGCTTGTCGTAAGAGGCGACTAACGGGATGGGGTGGTGAGGCTCGCTGACTTGGTTGACACATGTCATCGTATCCCAATTGCATAGATCGACGTTTATGCTGTTGATCACTGGATTATTTACACACCGCCGTCATATAGCTGGAATATTGCTGAGTGCGGCGTTTAACACCAAACCAACCAACCGTAGTGCTTGAATTGCGTTATTTCCTCTTCTGACCAGCCCTTTCTGTAATGCTAAATGAGCAAGTCTAGATTTCATCAGGTTCTGAATCTCCACTCTCATCGGGGCTCCTTAAGAAATCGTTGTTTTTCTTTCACAATGATAATTTGTGTATTCAGAAACTATGCTTTAGTCTAACTTGTTACAAAGTCTGGCGTTCGGCATTAAAAGTATGAAATGTCGACTGTTTGCTAGTGGTGTGACGATTCATCGATACGCATCGATGCATCGATCCATGGGCCGCCGATACAGTGAATCGATAGAAAGTTTTACATTGTCGTACATCCCGATACGATACTTCAAATGGGCCACGATACATTGATGTTTAACTTTGAATATTGCCGAATCGTGACATCTGTCAAGAAAAAAAGACATGATTAAATGATTAAAATATCTGGTTACCTAACTTATTTTCCCTTCATAAGTCAACGTTTTCTCGGAAATTCTTGCGTCAAGAACTGTGTCAGACAAAGCGCTCGCATGTTATTACAATTTACAAAGTCCGTCTATAAACTTAATTATCTCGTTTCCGAATTAACATTGAAAAGCGCTGGCGGAATTTGACGAAATACTTTAGAATGGTTTTGTTTTTATCTTAAGGTGTTTAATAGTTGGTGTTACAATTACAGATTTTAGTATCGTTATACCTATCGTATCGCCACCCTTATATCGGGATTCGTATCGTATCGCAGCTTCAGTGCACAATACTTTGGCAATATATCGTCGTGACTAAACTTTGAGTATCGTGATGTATCATATCGCAGGTTGTATGCCAATACCAGCACTACTGTTTGCCTGAGTCAGTGTTTTGTGTCTGAGTGCGATGTCCATGTTTAACAACGACCCAGTATCTCAGTTGCCTCTGGTAACCTGCCACACACTGATGTTCACTTTGCAATCGGGCAGAGAGTGAGTTTGGTTTTATGCCGCTTTTAGCAATATTCCTAATGTCAAGCCGAGGGACACCAGAAATTTACCAATGTGGGGAATGGAACCCGGGTCTTCGACGTGACAAGCGAACACTTTAACCACTAGGCTGAGAAATGGCGTCACCTCAAACATGACCATGGCATCATCATCAAAAACTGAATACCAGCCTCACACACGCACACACACACACACACACGCACACACACACACACACACACATACACGCACACACACACATACAAGCACACACATACACACGCACACACGCACGCACACACACACATACACATACGCACACACGCGCACACACGCACGCGCACATACAAGCACACACACGCACACACATACACGCACACATATGCACACACGCACACACACACAAGCACACACACGCACACACAAACACGCACACATACGCACGCACATACGAACGAACGCTGGAAAAACACACCTTATTTAAGATTTAAGATTTAATGTCGAGAAATGTTGAAATACGTTGTGATGCTTTTATCTAATGGGTAAGTGTCGTTTTACTCTGCAGTCATCAATATCGGGATATAACAACACTAACAGAAGGTGCATGTCTGTATTAGGTTTGTTTAGCTACCGACACAAGCAATTTGATACGAAGGACAACGAATCCCAACCTTGATGGCTGACATAAGTGATATTTTTAGAATCCATGAAATACAGGTTGCATTTATCAGAAACCCTCGATTATGTGGTTAGGCCAGTTTGAAAGCATTGCATATTGACAAATTCCCTGGGAATTGCAAACCGCGTGTCACACCGCTCTTTGGTGAGTCATGTGGTGCTGGTTATAATGGGAGTGGCACAGAATAACGTTCTAATAGGGCATTTGATAAAGAGTTGCCCAAGTCTCTAGGGCAATACCGTTTAGTTTAAATCATAATGTTTTAAATGGTTACAGCCAGATTGGCAAAAATGCAGCCACTCCAATCACTCATATCCAAAATTCACTCACTCTCTCACTCACTCACTCATCCACACACTCAATCACTCACTCACTCAAATTTGACATTATATTTTTCATATAAAAGTTATTAGGAAGTAATATTTCTTAGCAAAAGGAATATTTCTGTATAGACAACAATGTAATACCAATTATTGTGCATATTACAATGTTTTTTTGTAAAGAAGTTCAAAAACTGCATTTATGGCATGAATTTAATCATTTTAAATAAATTGGGGCATTTTGACTACCCCTGGGGCAATTTGTCCAAACCTGGGGCAATTTTAGCAAAAGTCTGGGGCATTTGACCAAATGTACTGGGGCATATTGTAGCTGGGTCAATGTGACCCCCCACTGCCTACCCCGCCTCTACTTGGTGTATTTGAATCTAGAGAGAAGGTATACCAGCTATGGGACATGAAATATGTGATACCTATTCAGCTTTACCCCGTGTCGACAGTCGGCCCACATATCTATATCGTTCCCTGTTGTCACATTTCACAGTGTAATGCGAGTTCAGGACACACAAATCATGCATGCAGAAACACAACAGTCGTAGACTACAGTGACCTTCTCATTTTACCATCAGTTGAAGAAGAAAGCAGATTCGTCGTATCTGAAATTATAAAACCCACATATATTTACATTCATCATGTAAAGCCTCTTCTTTATGCAAAATAAGAGTTAATCTATATCACAGTCGAGTCTGAGCGCAGTAGTGTGACACACAGTGAGGCTTATAGTTTTCGAGAAAAGTGTTGTTCTTTTGTCAAATGCTATATTAGGTTGTTTGTTTGTTTTTTAAAGCCTGAATGTTCTCTTGTACGTATAATTAAAACCATGACGATCTCGACTCATACTCAGGCCAGTGCAAATGTATACTGAAGGAAATAGTTATCCGTGTTCGAGAAGATCACGATATATTGTTGGTACGACTGTTTAAAACGTCTATTTCAAACAGTCGCCTCATTGTTGGCTAATGCGGTACGTTCTCGGGGAATTCATGACTAACCATGACTAATGAACAGCTGCGGTTATGACAAATACGTGCGCAATGGCCAATGTATAGTGCTTATGAAAAATACTTGATCAATCGCCCATGCATAGTGCTCATGAGAAATACGTGCGCAATGGCCCATGCGAGGCCTATTTGTTTGACCTTGATGTATCCTTCTCCCTGGAAATTTTCTACTCAAGTAAAGTGAATAGTTTTTAAATAAATGGTGCATCCATCGATCTATATTAACTCTTTACCATCCAGGCTAGACAACTGGATAACCAGCCGACTTTAGTTAGGTCTCCCTGTTTAAACGGGTTAACGTGTTAAGTTGGCTCGATACTGATGGCCATGTTTGTTCGTTTGTTGTTTAACACCGCACTCAGCAATATTCCAGCTATATGGCGGCGGAAAGTTTTGCTAAAAGTCGATGTTCAATTCCGAATATATTCTGAGTGTTTGTTTAACGACACTCTCGGTAAAGAAGGCTGTAAGGCTCTGGAACACTGTAAATAATCGATTCTAGTGAGTGTGTGAGTGAGTTTAGCGTTACGACGCACTCAGCAATGTTCCAGCTATATTGCGGCGTCTGTAATTATCATGTCGGGACCAGACAATCCATTGATCGACGCAATTGGGATACGATAAAATGTGTCAGCCAAGTCAGCGAGCCTGACTACCCGGTCCCGTTAGTCGCCTCTTACGACAAGCATTGGTTCCTGAAGCCAATTCTTACCCGGATCTTCACGGGTTCGATTCTAGACCAGAAATCCAGTCATTGACATCATAAGATACGATGACAGAGCATGATTATGAATCATTATCAGATAACAGTATGAGGCGTTTTGGTTGAGAGCTCGTTTACCCTTTTGCGATAATGTTGTGAACTATGTCTGACACTGATGTTAACCATAACGCGGTAAACGTGTTGACAGACCCAGAAACATGCGGACGAACTGGGATTCGAACCACCATCATGGGTTTCTGGCGTCCAAGGGACGGAACTCTGCACGCAGCCTGAGACGACTTTGCTGAACCTTAATTGTGAGACAAACCTGAACTGGGAAGATGTTAGATGGCTGACTTTGTGTGCTGACGATAAGGTGTCTGACTTTGAGAGTGTGGGTTCGAGGCCCAGGTGGGACTCAACCCCAAAATGTACTCAAATCTGTACCTTACAGAGATAGTGTATTCCTGATTATAACGTATGACATTTGGCCGTTTTGTAAGTGGAATTGTGTGTTCATTGTAAGAAGTTTGTACGTAGACAGTATATTGACAGTGTTGACATTCTTGCCTCTACTGCTAAATGTTCACAAACCCGTTAAGATCCGGGATAGAATTGGTCTTCAGTAACCCATGCTTGTCATTAGAGGCGACTAACGGGATCGGGTGGTCAGGCTCGCTGGCTTGGCTGACACATGTCATCGTATGCTAATTGCGTAGATCCATGCTCATGCTGTTGATCACTGGATTGTCTTGTCCAGA